ATAGTGGGTGAAGGAATTGGAGAGATCTTTATGAGAAATCTGAGGTAAAAGTTGTATCAAAGTAGAGAAAGAAAATATTGTAACTGAATAGCGTATTTAGTGGCTTAGGAGTAGGAGGTAACCAAATTTAGATATTTTGCTATAAACATTAAAAGGTATCTATAGAATATAATTTTTTTTAAATGGTATTTATTTAAAATAAATAAGGTGTTAACCTTTGCTATAGGAGGTAAAAATTCCTATAATAAAGTAAACATACATGCTGGAGAAAGAAACATCACAAAATTAGTCAATATTAAAAAAAAAATTATTTCTTGTTCTTCTTAAGAATATTTATTTGAAGAGTCAATTTGCATAAATGGACATCAAACAAATAACAAAACTTTAGCTATACAATTGCTATCATTAATTTCAATTTAGCACATTCAAGGAATTGAAACGTATAAGCTGAAACCCCTTAATTTAGCTATAGTCAAGCCAATATTGCAAGGGTATAATATTTTTTCGTTGAAGAATATTAGTTTTGAATCATTAGATTATGTGAAAGGTTTTTTTTTCCAAACTCAACAAGAGATAAATTGGTTTCTAATTGATAGTCTCTATAGCGACTTTTAAGTGTAACAAAGAGTAAATATAAAGAAAAAATTGGTATGACGTGAAATATTTTTTTTTAAAATGTAAAAAAATTATTTCGAAAAAAACTCTTTACTTTTTTTTAATTCAAAGATAATAAAAAAAAAGATTTTTTTGAACATTAGTAGAGAGTTTTTAAATTATTATAATAGAAGTTATATCATGGATAAACTCAAAAAACGGAAATCTTATGGAATATTTACATAATATTCGGCCATATTTATTGTTTACTTTTTATAGCTAATATAAATAGATGATATACTGACAACACACGATTATACACATATCATATATGGATTATATATAAATTACACATCATTCAATTTTTTAGTTTAAGTGGTTGTGTGAGCACCTATTTAGACTGATTAGATAAAGCCAAAAGGAAAATATAAAATAATTTCAACCAAAGACTAAAAATATAATTAAAGTTCATATGTAGACAATTTTTATTAAAAACTCATCCTTTTATAGTGAGATAAATGAATTTTTTGTAACAAAAGAAAAAAATGACATAAAAAATAAGATAAAAGAAAATAAATATTGAAACAAATGTTAGAAAGCTCTAAAAACGAAAAATAAAAAATGACAATAAATTTCTTCTTATGTTTCATCTTTGTTGAGTATAAAAAATTTGAAAGCTAATCTCACTGATTTCAAATATTTTTTTTTCAACTCAAATACATAGATTATAAGATAAGGATATTTTTTTTAATTTACATTATGTGTCATTTTTAAAAAATCACTATTACTAACAACCTGATATGATATTCGAATTTGAATTGGAATGCAATTTGACTAGTTTGCATTGTGGTTAAGCCAGGTATGGTATCGAAAAATAAACTACTTGACAATTTTAAGACAATATATGCAATGTTTTATAATAATAATAATAAACTAATTTAACATTTAATGATTCAAAGAACAAAATTTTTGTATATATAGGGTATTAAGAATTCAAATTCTGGGGCTAGAGATATTGGTAAACTTAAAGTGGAGTCATACTGAAATAAATCCGGCCAAAGAATCATTTAAATTTTTAGATAGCCGATTAAAGTGAAATTTAAATTAAGGATAATATCTTCACTTGCATCATTTTAAAGTAATCATTATTATAATATATATATATATATATATATATATATATAAAGTTTTAAAAATTAAAATTTCAAAATAAAAATATTTTTTGAAAGATAAAATCATACGAAATAAGAGTTCAAGTCGTAGTATAAGAGTCACGTCGTAATCAACGATTCGTTTATATCGTGTCAACCTTTGTGCTTTGTCATAAATACGAGTTATTATTTTACTTTGTGGCTATTTTTAGGTTCCAATGACACCTATGAGAATAGTGCAAAAATAAAAATATCACTACGAGAATTGAGAAAAATGTTAGTCTGTTTTCATGTAGTGTTTCTTAATTAATATCTGAAGATTATCTATAATTATTTAGAAGATTAAATGTTAAGGTTATCTACATATAATTCAAATAACTTAGATATTTAACATGGTTAATGTCAAATATCAAAATGGAGTAAAAACAATTCACTAGCTAAAGAATTTTTTATATTTTTAGATAGCCAACTAAAATGAGTTTTGAATTAAGAATAATATTTTCAATTACATTATTATAAAAATAATTATTATTAAAAAATAATATTTTAGAAACTGAAATTTAAGAAAGAAATATTTTTTAAGAGATATCAACACACCAAATAAGAGTTCAAGTAGTAGTAAAAGAGTTAAGTCTTATCCAAAGAGTCATTCATTGTCTCAACATTTGATTGTTTTGCCATAAAAATGAGTTTATTTCGCTTCCTGGCTATTTTTAGGATCCAATGACACCGGCAATAATGGTATCAAAAAAGAAAAATAGAAGAAATGGTTAATTTTTTTCATGTAGTTAATATCCAATGATTATCTATATTTACCGAGAAAGTGTAAATTTTAAGATTATTTACCTACAATCCAAATAACTTAAATATTTGACATGATTAGTGCATGTGCATCCGCACGGATACTAATACTAGTATTCCATTGAATCAATTTATTTTCTTTATTTGTAAAATTAAATTTACAATTTAAATTTCAAATAGTAAATTACACAATTCTCAAGCAAGAACCAGAACACTCGATCATAAGTGGTGATCCATGCAACACTAAGATAGAGATAGGGGTGGAAAACGGGCAGGTGGGGCCGGATGGGCAGGTCGAAAACAAGTAATACAAAAACGAATAAAATATCCGACCTGCTCATATTTAATACGTATAAAAATTAAATAAACCGGTAGATAATATGGATACCTGTGGCTTGTTGAATGTGATTACTTTTGGAAGAATTTCTATTCTCCCAATGTGTCTTTATAAATATAAAAGTTTAAACCCATTGATTATTCATTAAAAATTATTATTTTTAAGTGGATAATATAGATGTTATCTTTATTTGACCAATTTTAAAAAAGTTCGTTATTCAATCCATTTTTATCGGATACTATGGATGGATAATTATTATTTTTATCCATTTTGCCGCCACAGAGGTGATATGCTATACAAGACTTGCTCTATCTACAATATAAATAATATGACATCTCACCTTTCGCTTGAATGTCCCAAAATATTGAACAGATTCAATCATGAAAATATAAAAATTTAGTAATTTCACAAATTAATTTGTCAATAACACATACAAGTATAGTTGAACAGACATACAATATTTTAATTGTTGAATAAAAACTAAATAAATGGTTTTTTCATCTTCATACTCAGAATCTCATACCATCGAATGATGTTCGCTTCACATTTTGACAATCTCATACTTCATTCTTCCGCAAACATTAGTTTGTGGAGACTTCTTCACCTATATTGGCAGGGGCGGATTTAAGATTTAAATTCTATGAATTTAATTTTTAAGGTTTTAGCATTGAACCCCTTATATTTTTAAAGTTATGGGTTTATATCTACTATTTTTTTTAAATTATAACATATAAAATTTTTACTATGCGTTCAATTAAACCAGTCATTCACACACTACATTCGCCCATGTATACTGTTATGCCCAGGATCGTTCACAAAGCCCCAAAAACCTTTAACGATAACAAAAGCTAGTTTAGCATAATTTCCAACTCTAAATGGCCAAAAGTATATCACTTGCCATGTTACAATTTCCTCCGGGTTTTGTTAACCCACCCTCGCCCGTCTGAGCTCTTGTTCGGTGTTCTAAAAGTTGGATTCATCGACACAAAACAGAAGCTAAGAATGTTGAAAGATGCAACAACAAGAATGTTTGCAGCAACAAGAATGTTGAAAATATATGGTTGAAAAATTGTCACCACGTATAGTATTCCAGATATAGTTTTCTTTTTTTTTTTTTGAAAAAACAAAAATCTTCATTAACGTCAAATTGGTCGCAGCTAGAACTGAACCCGCTTTGAACCTGTCTTCAACCTCGCTCGGCATTCAAGCCATTGATTGCTTTGTTCAACTTGCTGACATTCTTGCTCAAAAGAAATTTGTGGCGACCTAGTTGCCATAAAATGTAAACAAATGCGCCACAAAATAGATATAAGATAGGTCGCTATTCCACCAGCGACATATAGTTCGCCGCTGAATCCGTGGCGACTCGGCACTTAGTTTGGTGGCGAGTAATAGGTCGCCACAGAAAGTTGTCACTGAAAACCTTACTTCTACTTCTTGTAGTGGGTGTCTTCCAAATATATAACATCCCTTGATAAATAGACTTTATTTTGACAGGACCAAAACATTGTCGACAATTAAATTGAGATTTGTTGGCATCTAAAGATTCTTGTTTGAGATTTGTTGGCATATGCAATGTGCAAAGCATCCCAGGCAGCCTTGGCAGTGACTGTAGCGGCGACTGTAGCAGCAAGCGTAGGATCAAATGTGGTCAAGATAGTAATTCGGATTAGTACCATGCAAAGAAGTCAGGATTTTTTATATCTCGATTGCTTCGAGACATTGTGCACGCAAGGCGAGAACCATTGAGATGGACGTAAAGGTTGTGACTATGCATAAGCATGGACACCAGGGGCGGAGCCAGAGACCAAGTTACGGGTTTGGTTGAACCCAGTAACTTTGTTCCAAACTCTGTATTAGTTTAGTTTAGAACCCAGGAACCTAAAAAGACCGGAATACTGAACCCATAAACTTCAAATCCTGGCTCCACTTCTAATAGACACTTGAGCTTTCCAAATGAAAAAATTGTGGATGCCAGTTAATTTGATGGGTAATTGGGTTGCAACAACAACAACAACAACAACCCAGTATAATCCCACAGGTGGGGTCTAAATGGTTAATTGGGTTACAGGATTAAATTGAATTGTTGTGTTTAATGTTAAAATCCTTTAAAGAAAGTCAAAACAAACTTTAACTACAGAAGGAAGTAGTGATTGATAAACCAGAAACTTGTTCCACATGTACAGAAAAGTTATGAAAAAACAAACCTTAACAACAGAAAGCAGAAAGTGATTGATATTTGGCATAGTGGAACCTCATTGCCATGAGATATAACCCTAGAAAAGTGACACTAAATTGCACCATAGGGAGGAGGGGGGAGAGGAATGGAGCCAATTTCCAACCCTCGACGAGCACCCAAAATGTTCAGCTCGAGAGTTGCCTTGTACTGAGAAGGTATTTCCATCAATGCTGCCAATGCAAACTCTGCTTCTTTCCTGGACCACTTCACATTTTTTGACATGATTTCTGTAAAATTAACAAACTGGAAATTGTCAAACGCTCGTGCAGGTATATTGTCATCGAATTCCCTCATCATGTCCCACGGCCCATCTCCAACTCCAACTACAACAATAGACAAGGCGTATTGACTTGCTTTCACAATTGCTTCAACTGTTCTCTTCTCTTGAGGGCTTAATTGACCACGCGCAGCATCTACACTTGTTGTAACCTGTCCATCTGCTATTATCAACAAAACATGGTACTGGCCACCACTCTGCTCTACAATACTGATTGTCATTTCAATAATAGGAGCAAACGATGTTGGTCCAGCAAGGCGTAATTGAGGAACTAATTGTCTATATCGACTCAGTACTTGCTCGAATCCATAACATACTTTCTCATCAGGATAGAAACTGAAGACTTGTTGGTCATGTGTTGAGGCATCACCAAATCCAAAACAAGGAATTAAGTTGTCCTCATCAAATTTTGATAGTGTTCTTCCAATGATGGATATTGCTTGTTCATATGGATTTTGCTGATTATCCGCAATGTGATGCAAACTTTTCCCCTGGAATGACCTTGCACCGGTCCACTCATTGCTCTTGGTAAAATCGATCCCAACAATTAAGTTTGAAGACTCTAGTCCTGCACGTGCAAGCGCATCAGTAACCTGTTCTAAGCTGTTGTAGTCATCGTCGATCTTTGAATATTTCCTTGATGCAGGAGGTGGACCACAATATGCCTGATAAGTCGGATAATTGTAGCTCGATTGAGTATATTGTGACTGCGGATTGCCTGAATATCCGCCAGTTTTTGGCCTCTTTGAACACTTGCCACCCATGAAATCTGCAGTTTGTAATATCTCTCAAAGAATTCAATTGATATAGCAAACTTTGTAACATTAACTAGCTAGTTAAACGATTTACTCAATCTTTTTACCACCTAGTAAATAATAGGTTTAACTTTGGCACTTCAATTCTTAATGGTCTTATCGCATAAATGATGATTTTCAACATTCTCTAAATCAACTCATACATACCACCAACGCATATAGCTTAATACATAGTCTTGTGGGAAAACCTAAGTTGCGCGGATACTTCATTTGTGGTGCCGCACCCATGTCGACACGAGTCAGGGGCGGATTTAGGGGGGGTGGAAGGGGGTTCACCCGAACCCTCTTCGCCAAAAAATTGCATTGTATATATAGGACAAATTTATTTTTTTTTCTCTGTAGGGGTAAGGTCTGCGTACAGACTACCCTCCCCAGACCCCACCTGGTGGGAACATACTGGGTTTGTTGTTGTTGTTGTTGTATATTATGTTTTAAATCCCCATGTCATATCCCAAAAGCATAGCTTAGTGGTCAAGGGGTTCAAAACCTTTGTGAGGTCATTCGTTCAATTCCCACTAGCTATAATCTCTTTTAATTTATTAACTTTTTTTCTTTTTTGAATCCCCTTAGCGGAAATCCTACCTCCGCCACTGGACACAACACTGACACTAGTATGGGTGCGGGATACGTAGCGGATCTGGTCAATCAACATTTGGTATTTTGACCGCAAAACTATGTAGAAATTAGAGATAAGATTTGGCATTTTGATTTCTCAAAACAAAAACTATCGTAGATTTCTAGGTGGTTACTTACAACTTGAGAATACTCTACAGGCTACATGCAAGTTTTTCACATAATATCTTGTAATTTAGGCATATTTTTATAGCTCTATTTTTTAATATAGTCGAATCCCAAATCTTGTACCTAGATTTTTAGATATACAGATCTGTACTCCCAAATCTTAAAATTTCGATCATCAAGTATCCGAATTCTGGATCCGTACCCGTATAGAATACTCACACCCGAGTCTGAGCAACTTAGGGGAAAACTACGCAGTAGGTTATAGGTGTTCAATTCTATATTGCGAAAGACTACATAATAATGTTCTAAACATGCAATAAAAATAAAGATTTCCCAGCAAAGATCTAAGTAAGTGTAGTATTTTGGCAAAAATAAATACCTGTTGGAAACTTTCTTGAAATTGTCTTGAAGTGTAATTCAGAAGGGTTACTGCATGGTATTTATAATATCACCTCTAATCACACTCCTAATAGGTAACCACATAACCTTTTCTATTCCAATAGGAATTGTTTCTTTCCATTTTAATAATATTTTTGTGTTAAGAAAAAAAATAACAATCATATTCCGTTGGGATCAACTAATTTCTTTTTGTCTGATAAAATATATATTTTTATTTTATAACACTAGATTAAATAATCTTCCTACAAGAATCAAACATTTGTAAGTGTGTGACTCGACGTTCAAATAGAGACTATTTGACCAAATTGCCGCTTATTTTGAACAGTGTTTTTTATAAGAAATGCTTTTCGAAAATAGTTTTGAATAGTAGCAATTTATGTTTGTCCAATGCATTTAAGGATGTTAATATTAGAATATCAATTTATGTTTGGCTAGTTTTCTCAAAAAAGTGCTTTTGAGTGTCGTGTCATAATAAAGATATATAAAAATTTCATTTTACAAATAATTTTATTTAACTAGATAAAGAGTTTTAAATATTTCTTATGATAGATTGTAACTAAACATTCAGTTTTATTTAAGAAAGAATTACAGCCCATGTCACTTGGCCTAATAGCCCAACCGAAAATGGCTCACATTTGAAGCTCTTACCCTATTTAGCCCATGTTGTACATAACTTGAAAAAAACTTTTCAGCCTTTAGCCCACTATTAAAGACATATTTTAGGGTTTTTATTATTTTCTTCTTTCTTCATTCCCTTCTCTCTCTCACCGCCTCTCACTTCTTTCTTTCTAACCCACATAGATCCCTCATCCTCTCTTAACCTAGCCCCCGCTATTCCCCCTCCTCTACCCCCCACGCAGTTCTGCCATTAATGGCTCGAAGAAGGCTCGAAGAAAGACTCTGTCATCCATGGTGGCAAGCAGAATAATGAAGAAGATTTTTGAAAGAAACATGAAAATACACACAGATCTGAAAATGAATAGCTCTCAAACTTGATTTGCACCAAAAAATAACCACTAATGTTGGAAGATTTTGAAGTTTGAAGTTCTGGTCATTATTATTATGACCTTGAAGTCTCGAATCTGAAATTGGGTTTGGATAAAAATCATAACTATGTTGCAGTTTGTATCAACATTGTATACTAGTGTATAATTGTGTATATAGATATACAAACACCTCTTATACACTATTATACATGTTTATACAAAGTTATACAGTATTGTATAATTGTGTATAAATGTGTATATTTGTGTATAATATTGTATAATTATTTATTTTTTCAGTTTATAAGGATGTATATACATTGTTAGTGTGTAAGAGGCTTCTACAGAAGTTTGACACTTCCTTCTCTTCTTCTTTTTCGTGTAATGTGTTGTATGAGCGTTGGAGGGATTCTACAATTCATTTATCAAGTTTTTATTTTTCTTTTATCCTGTTGGATTGCTTCAGCAATTGCACATAAAAGTGTTTGAATTTCTTACCTTTGGATAATATGTATTATTCAGGATTTTTGAGTTGCGTTGTGGCTGATTTGCATTTTTTTTATCAAATGTTTAATAATCAAAGGAAATCAACAGAATGAAAACAACTGGTTGTATACAGAGGAAGCAAAATAAGCTGTCTTTCGGGAATTAGCCTATTATTTTTTGGGTTATAAATTTGCAAAGTGGTATCTAGGCTATTATGTTGCAAGTCAGGGGTGTGAGTTGTATTTATGTGAAATTATCCCTTTTATTTAAACTAAATGTATAAAGTAAAATAAGTATAATTAAACCAACAATATGGCACTTGACATTTTATACGGGTATTTTAATTGTCAAGATGATTTAAGTGGGGATAGTTTGATATATATAAATTTTTGTTAAGCATATTGTTGTCATGAATAAAATTAAAAATAACTTCTACTTCTGTTTCTACTTCTAGGGAAAAGTTACTTTTCCGGCTTCTTCGCCACGATAGGAAAACAGCTTCTGCTGCCACGCAAAAGCACTTATTTTATTTTATGAAAGCTTGGCCAAAAACCTCAATTCTCCAAAATAAACATTGTTTCGAAAAATAAGCATTTTCGACTTACAAGAAGCTTGACCAAATAGGTTATAAGATATATTATTCTACTATATTAACACTGGTCACTGGACAAGACTTGCCTCTTCTAACTCTTTTTAATGTTGCTCAATAGATAATACAAAATCCAGTCTTATGTTCTTTTTTCTGTTATTCTACTGCATTAGTTAGCTATTAATTTGTAACTTTGAATTATAGCAGATATGGAAACAAAGATCGTGAGACACCACTTAGTTGTAAGGATTGTGGTTGGAGGGATAGGATATACCTTGATCCTTACCAAAGCTCTTGGGTTCGAGGCCTGGAAATAGAGAATATCCTGATAGTATAGCACTTCAGAAATTCTCAAAATGCGTAACGCCTAGTTCAAAGGTTATCAAGTACTCCCTATGTTCCAACATAGAATTTTTAAGTTTTTTTTGGGAATAGAATTTACATATTTGAAAACTAAATAAAAAGTACATAATTCACAATAATTAACAATTCAAAATACTTTAATAGTAGGGTGTTTGAAGGGAGCCTTGGCTTAACTGGTTAAGTTGTTGCCATGTGACTAGGAGGTCACGATTTCAAGCCGTGCAAGCAGCCTCTTGCTGAAATGCAGGCTAAGGCTGCGTATAATAGACCTTTGTAGTCCAACCCTTCCACGGACCCCGCACGTAGCGGGAGCTTAGTGCATTGGGCTGCCTTTGCTGTTTAATGGAGTTCTGTTAGCATAATCATTATCAGCTGGTTTGGTATAGCTGTTTGTCTACAATCAAAATGCCAAGGAGGGCTACAAGGTTGGATTTTCATTCAATCTTTTCTACAGCATGAAAAATTTGCACAAGCAAGGCAATAACTATGTAACAATATTTTCTCAGTTAGTTGCAACAATCTAATTGTTACCATTATCTATTCAATACAGTCAAATACAAGGCTAGACATCAATATACATCAAGACTGCAATTTTTTTAATGACCGAGAAATCCATCCGGGGCCATTCCTCAGGACCAAACGCGGCCTTAAAAAACTCGGGGATAATAGGCCTGCCCCTCAAACCTTCTCTGCTTAAATACCAGTCATGGTTCGCATGGCACAGGGATTGAACTAAGCCTTAGGGGCGGCGAGTGTAAAGATTATCTATTATTGTGTTCCTACATATGAAAACCACGGTTGGAATAAAACTTACATATTTGAAAACTAAATAAAGAGTACTATATATCACTGAAATTGAAGAGAAGAACTTAAGCTTCCATGAACAAGAAAGAAAGAAAGAAAGGAAGGCAAGAGGAATGAATAAACTGAGGGCACTTGAACATTCATCTTATTTAGCAATTCAACTGACTAATTTTTTCTCTTAATATAAGTTAAGGAATTTCATTAATATATGACATATAAAGCATGGTTCAGCCAATTCAATTTGGCACCTGCACACTGGATTTCCATAGAAGTGGTTAAGCTAGCTAAACAGATAGAAATGGTTTAGGTGAAAGTGTCCCACAACCTGACACTTTCAGAAAAGTTGAAGAGTTTCTTTAAGTTATCTGCTCTTGTGCCTAATGCCAAAGCTGTTGTGAATGCTAAACTTACACATCACAAGTTCAAAATAATCTTTCATTTCTGTGACTAATTCGGCAAATTGAAGGGGAGCATTAGCGTAACTGGTAAAGTTGTTGTCATGTGACCAGGAGGTCACGAGTTCGAACCGTGGAAACAACTTCTTGCAGAAATGCAGTGTAAGGTTGCGTACAATAGACCCTTGTGGTCCGGTCCTTCCCCGGACCCTGCGCATAGCGGGAGCTTAGTGCACCGGGCTGTCCTTTTTAATTCGATAAATTAAATAACTTAAATAACCGCCTCAAACTCATCGCTCAGCAGTTCAGAGTGGAGTGTCAACAAAAAACCCCATAGCCACCTTTCAAGCTGGGGGTGAAAAAAGCTCATTCACCTCAAGTAGGTTCAGACTCAACTCAGTAACAAAACATAAGAGTAATTAAATGGCATAATACTAACATTATCATTAAATTGTTGAACCATTGTCAAATATAGACTTGTGTCAAGGAAAACTCTGAACCTTAGGACCCAAAAAAAGCTCCCAAGAGAGAATATCAAAATGCTTTGCTATACAAAACCACACAAGCTATGTTGACTACAACACGACCTTAACAGAAGCACGACATTTTTGGACACGAGATTTGACAAACCATAATACTTGGACAGTCCGTGCGCAAAATACAAGTTAACTTCTCTATACGGCTTGCTCTTTTTATTTTTCACTTTTTATTACAAATCCTGTAGATCCTGAACATAGAGTAGTGAATGTAGAACCAGAACGCTGCCACCAATTTGGTGCGAGAACTCAACCATGTAGCAACTATATCAGCAATGGCAGAGGAGAGGATAGTGCATAGAGTGTAGCTGACCTCAAAAGTGGCTAGCTGAGGTTCACCGTTTGGGCTCATTTAACGTCTTACCCTCAAAGAATTCACCAAGCATACGGTCAAGATCTTCAGCTGAATATCTGATGTACTTTTGGGAGTTTTTACCACTCTCAACCAAAGGCCTGTCATGCAGGAAAAACGAGCATTTACATCATCTCGACTTTCCTATGGAATTAACAACATAGGATATACTCTTATGTTTCATCTCATATGACACTATTACATATTTTGTTAAGTATAAAACTTGTGACTTATACTACTATGTAGCTTCTAACTATGTAAAATTTATTCAGGAAAGAGTAAAGACTGGATTTACATAATTAGAAGGTTATACCCTCCTAGCAATGCGACTTATATAAAGCATGAAGGAAAAGAACTCTGTGCCACATATTTGAAAGATGTCAAGTGATCAAATAATCTTATTTTTGTGTTTTTCTATTTATTTGTCTGAATAGTGAGATTGAATTTGAATAAAGAGTTAATAGAAGATGGAATCACTGAAATCTTGTTTCGTCTTCACTTGGAACTTGAGGAGTAACTATCTAGCTACATCACGTTAGAGGTTTCAACAAACAAGCATGCAAGAGAGAAATAATAGCAAAATCAAATAAAAAATACCCAAAGCGTTTAATGAAAGATCTGTATGCAGGCAGCAAAACTTCAGCGACCGCAAGCCTCAATGACTCTCGCAACTCAGTATCTGGAACAGTCCATTGAGTTTGTCTTTGATGAAGCTCTTCGAACTGCACATTGAATGTCTTAAACCTGAAAAAGAATACCAAAAAGTTATTCATATCAGAACCAAGATTAGATCATCACTGTTAACAAAAGCTTCTAAAATAAGAAACCTGAGAACCTACCTGTCTTTCACAATCGATCTTGAAACTCCACTACTATTCTGTCCATCAACACCACCAGAGTTACTGCCTCCAGATGATGTTAGCCCTTGAATTGATAGGCATTGAAGGATCTACTCGAGAATAAAACAAAGTGTTGATTAGGACAATTGTATGGGAATTTCATATTCTTTGTCCACAGTGATCATTCTCATGGCATGACATAATTCCACCATTTGAAAAGAATTTGACAGTTCACTCAGTTAATTTGCACATAATAAAAATTAAAGCGAGGGTAACTTTATTTTTTTAAACAAGTAAAAGAAAGGTAATTATAATTGCACCTATTCAATGTTCTTCATAATTTTATTTACTAATCTAGAGAAGATTTTCCAAAAAAGCGCCCGATATGATAACTAGATTTAGCATTCTCAGATACTTTAACAAACTGCACACCTACTTTAACAAAAACGATGCAGGAAACTCCCCCTCACTGGAAAACAAATAAGATAAATAGAGGTTCGCCAAACATTGAACTATCTGTGGTTGAATCTACCTAAGCTCTTCCTTCATAGAAACAGTCTTGTTGGCAGCAAGCAAAAAGTAGATATGATGATGAAATTGGTAGCAAGGGAAGATTCTCCGAGTCGGTAGGACTAAGGAAATCGATGATACATATAAATGTTAATGACCAAAGTGAGTCGGTCTATCCCTTTTTCTAATTTGCAGTTATTGTCATGCGGAAAAAAAATGATCCTGCTCTATGCACTCACACAAGCTCTTGATATGGGATAAAAAATGGAAGCTCATCAGGTGAGGGCAAATGATTCAAATAATAGTACACTAACTGATCAATCACTATAATCATAAATGAGACATGAAGCTGCAAAATAGAGCATATTCAGTAAAAGCTATAACCCATAAACAAGAAATGAAGCAGCGAAAGCAAATCAGGATGAATGCCCATTCATCCCCCACCCCCCACCCC